ACTAACTTAAACAACTCAACAAATAGGAACTTTAAAGAAGGAAATGAAAGATGACACAAACAATGACATAACAAATCTTGGTTGTAAAATAATGGCCAATAACCTCGTTCACATAAATGACGGAGTTATTTAACTTCAAAGTCATGGTTTAAAATGTCCCTAATTTCCTTAATATTTCCATGACATATTTCCATTTCCTTGGGTAGCGACTTGAAATTTTGCCAACATCAACATATTCCTTAATGAACACTATCAGCACTATGTAGAGTACAAGAGACAGTTTCAACGACATATTTCCATTTCCACTTCCATGGGTATCAACATGAAATTTAGTTGAACACTACCGGTGTGGAGTGCAAGAGATAGTAATAGTATTATAACATAAGTTGGTAACAATATTGTATATATGTAGTGCAACCATGGTTTCAAATGTCGCTAATGCCGCCCGTCATATGTCGATGTCATGGCTCACCGACATGAAAATGGATGGTAACATAAAAATTACATTATGTCAGTCGACATTTCCTATATTTCGGAAATGTAGATCAAATCAGTCCAAATAACCAAAAAAAATACAGTTTTTCCTATTATGTCGACAAGATGTCGACTAATGTCGATAGGATGTCGACTAATGTACATTAAAAATATAATATATTAGTATATTATATTAATATTATACAGTATATTAATATAGATTATTCCATATTAAAATCAGAAATGTTTATTAAATTTTATAATAAACCATATTCTACATTTAATATAAAAAATCAGAATAAATTTAACAAATTTTATACTAAATCATAATTTATTATAAAYTTAGTATAAAAAATCATAATAAATTCATTAAGTTTTATAAGAAATCAGAATTTATCATAATCTTAATACTACAAAAAGGAGAATCAGTTTATTAAATTTATAATAAAACATAATGCATTATAACTTTAATATTTAAAAAATCAGAATAAATGTATTTCTATTTACTAGTGTGAAATAAATATATTAGAATTTATAATAAATCGGAATTAAAAATTAGAAAAGAAAATATCAGATAACCTTGTAAAAACATCAAAATGCATAATAAATCAGTAAATCGTCATTTACTAATTTGTTATTGATCTTAGTTTCTTAGCTTTATATAATGGTTGGGAATAAGATAATAGTCTAGAAATATGTATTAATGCTTTGTTTATCATTTTACAAAATATCTTTGCATATTTCCACAGATTTCATAATATTTCCACAATGTCTCTAATTTTTACAATATTTCCCCTCAACATTTCCGACATATGTCCTATATTTTGGTCAACGACATTTCCATCAACATCGACATTTTAAACCTTGGGTGTAACAATGTTATTGTCCGAGTAACTTGATTACCACTTTGAGCTATCTCAAAATTGATTTCAAACATAAAGTTAAATATTAGTTTTTGTTTGTGTAATAGATTATTTGGTTGATCTATTATAACCATTTATAATTTCTCTAAGTTTAAATTTTGCTTTAACCCATTCTATCATCAAGATTTGAATCTTAAGGTTTACAAGGCAACTTCAAAATATATTCATTTTCTATAACCTTAGTTTCCTAGCTTTGTTTAATGATTTGGAACAAGATAGTAATCTAAATAGGTGGGCATATGCTTCTTTTATCATTTCATAAATTATCATTCTATATTTTTCATATTTTACAATGTTTCCACCATATCTATAATTTTTACAACATTTCCATATGATATTCCCAACATTTCCGATATGTTTCTTATACTTGGACGACCAACATTTCCACCAACATACATTTTAAACCTTGATTCAAATCAGCATCATCTTCCAGTATGTAGAAACCATCCACTACACAACTTTTACTAATTGTTTTTCCCCAAGGTGAATTCCCAGAAAACACAAGAATCTGAGAAAAACAATACATAACAATTCAAGGATTTAGTAATGCTACTAATAGAATGAAAGTTTTTAGGAAGTTTAAGAACATGTAATACGGAGTCAAGGTTGATACCGAAAGGAAGAGATATAGTTCCTTAGCCAGAAATAGTAGAGAATGACCAATCTGCCAACCTCACTTTATCAAACAGTAGATGGTAAGAAGAGAAAAAATCTAGCTAACCAGTAATGTGGTTGGAAGAACCTAAATCGATGATCCAAGGGGACTAAGAGGGGTTAGACACATAGTTGTCAAGGTGAGGCGACTAGGTGCTTTTCAATGAGCGCCTCACCCAAATGCCAAGAAAAAATGTATTAGGCGCATGCTGTGGGGACTGAAACACATATATAGTATACAATATTTTATTAAATATAATAAATATAAAATATATAATATTTGATTGGTTGGTTTTAGTTTTTATAATAGGATATGTTGCATGTTATCATGTTTTTGTTACGAGGAAAGTAAAAACAAAATAATCTCAAGGGTTTCATTCACTTTGACAAAAGAATCGAATGAGGAAGAAGAGAGAACAGCCCTCCATCGTTCCGACACAATCCTCTAAGTCAAGGTGAGTTAATCAGTTTCCTCCTTCGTTTTGTTCTCTTTTTCCACTGGTTTAAAACAGTGGTTTCGCCCTATTCTTCTCCTCTTCCTTGTTGGACTAAAACCATTCTTCTTTCATGGTTTGAATCATATTATTGGACTAAAACAAGGGCTCCACCCCCTTCTTTGTTCTGAAATTTCATGCGTGTTTTCAGCTCCTTTTCCTTCATTATTGGTGTCCGAAATTCTTCAGTCTTCTTTTATTTTAGTATTTTTTTTCACCAGCTTTTCTGGGTCTAGAACAGGGGCTCGCCCCCTACTTTTGTTCTTAGATCCTTGCATTTATCACCCCTTTTTTTGTTCTCATCATTGGTGTCTGAAACAGGGGCAGAGCCCCTTCTATTCTTCTTTGTATTTTATTCTTTTATTTTAATATTTTTCACCTTCTTTTTCTGGGTCTAGAACAGGGGCACTGCTCCTTACTTTTCTTCTCCATTTTCTTCTTTTATTTTAGTAATTGTTCTCATCAAGCAACGCTGCATGAAACACAAGCACAAAAGTAAGTGCAGAATACATAAAACCAAAAAAAAAACTAGTAAGAAGGGGTAGAAATCCATCGGCTTCTTATTTTTAAATTCCATCGCCTAGGCGAGGGCTAGGCACCCGCCTAGGCGCCTAGCCTCGCCTTGGCAAGTTGGTGCCTTGAAAACTATGGTTAGACACATGGAAAGCAATGGCTTAGGTTACCTGTACTTGCTGGATAGGAGGTAGGAGCAATAGAAGTCCATTCCAGATGTCAGATTACCCTACTGTATTGTTCCAATTGGTCTTTTATGGTACTTGGTAAATCATCCCTTGGTGCTGAACCCAGAGTAACCCAGAGTTGCAATGTAACTAGTAGAACTCTCCTCATTAGGAACATCAAGAACCACATTTGTTGAAGTATTTATCTTCCCGTATTTCTTTTGAAACTTTTAGGTTTTTCAACTAGGTCCAAAAAGTGCTCCCTAGTAGCTCCAAGCAATTCAGTACATCCCATTATCTTCACCATTGATGAATACAGCCTGCCCTCCTGTAGCTCCAAATGCTACTGGGTCCACTATTTTTATTTTAAGAACTAGGGAAAAATGCCAGCACCAACCACTAGTTTTCACAACAACAAGAGAACAACGGATCTGTCTACACAGATAAGTTCAAGATACTAGTTGCTACAAAACAACTCAACAGATAAACCAGATCATTGATTAGATGTTCATACATCTGCACAGACCATTTCAAATACAGGTTCTAATTTTCCAAGCGATAATCCTGCATTCCCACCCTACTTCTTGACCTAGAAACACTCCACATTCAGCCCATCACCCTACAACCTTTAGCCCTCCATAGCCAATCATACAATCACCAATAAAATGCCACAAACCAATCACAGCAACCCCCAATGGAGAAAACAACAGTCCAAATAGTATTCTTCCATAAAAATATTAAGGAAACCCTCGAACTCCCCAAAAACTACTAGATTCCTGATCCTACAACCACAAAAAGAACAAGACAGAACATCTCTTTATTTGTCCTTAGATGTATATAATACTCCTCTTCTGATTGAAGTCTAAGGAAAAACAAAAGTGAAGAAAGAGAAGAAAAAGGAGCAGAACTAGTATAGAACATGCTCTGATCCCATCCTTTTTTATCTAGAGATGCTGTAAAGAGAAAAGTGAAAAGAGGTGAAGAGAAAAGACAAGATTTCGAAAGTCCAAGATGGGTCCATTATCCACTTGGATATTTATATTAGGGTGAAATTATATATAATGAAAAGACAAATATACCCTCAGGTACATAAAAATATATAAAACAACCTAATAATATCTACAAAGCAGTCACTGCAACTGGTCAAGCATCTGACTCCATTCTGTCTTCCACCTTCATCTTCAAACTTTCTGTTTCTTTAATTCCAAAACAAATATGCAAATTAACAGGTAAGACTTAATTTTTCTCAGTGATTATGACAAGGGCAAAACCAAGTACTCAGCTGTTTTCTGTACAGCATTCTGCTACAAATTCTATTTTCAGACTTAAACTTCAATATGGAGCCTAAATCACAAACCCACAATGCACTTCAAGTATTCTAAAATATACTTCCTTGGAAAAGTCTCATACAACAGGTCTAATCAAGTAGATAAAATTATGCATTTTGTAATACCTAGTTCCAAATTAAACATCTGTTTATTGATAAAAATAATAATTCTAAACTAAACGTTTGATTTTTAGTTTGCACCAAACCTAAACTACAGAGATTATGGCCATTTCGACATCATCATTTTCCTTTTATGTTTGACAATGCTCTACAGACAATTTAGAACAAACAGGCACAATGCTTGGGAGGACTGTAGTTTTTGACAACTAAATCACAAATAGGATGATCTGAATTCCAGTCTTTTGGTTGAAAGACAACAAATTCACCATCACACTATATGCATTATTGGACTGGCTTGGTTGGAACATAGTGCTGAAAGATACCCTACCTTTACTGCTAATTCTCCAATTGCCCAACATGCATTATTAGCCACTGAAACAGATTCTTTCAGCTCCTGAGTATGCTGCGCATGGCATATGTTGGTCAAATACTAACAAACAAGGCTTGATATCAATAAAAACATGAATCAAATGCTTACCAACTGATTGGCAGCAACATTAAGAAATTCTGACAAACGAGGATGCAAATGCACATGGCAAACCTGGCACAAAATCATGTCAGAACAAAGCTAAACTTTAAAGCTGATGAAATAAATAAAACCAATCAACCAAAACACCACTATTTGAGCAAGGAAATGCTAACACACCCTTGCAAGGTCCCCCAGAAGAGCAAGAGCACTTTGACGCACATCAGAAGCATCATCCATGCAGCACTGAAGAAGTAGGTCCCTCAAATTGCCTTGTGCAACCTACAAAAATAAAGTTGCACCAGAACAAATGAACAAATTTTTGGAATGTTTAAGCATGAAAAAACAATTGATTTATAAAACAAAACATCAGGAATTGGAAATTTCAAAAATTAGAGAAGTAGTAGCCCAAGACTACATATTCAAGCATGAAAAAACGAATGCAACATCTACAAGCATATAAATTTTTTTTTTGATAATTGAAATGAATTTATAAAACAGCAATAGACAATAGTACAAAGTCCTCAAGGAAAGGTACGAGTTGCAACCTCTCCGGGCTAGTTAAGTACAGATTTCCAAATTAATAACAGCTTACATAGAAGCACAAAAAAGATCTTCCCTAGAAACCCCCTGTTTGGCTAAAGCATCAGCCAAAGAATTAGCAGACCTACCAACCCATTTTACCTCAACACTCATATTACTGGTTAACCACTTTACTTTTTTGATGAGATCTTTGTAGCCCCAAATGGCGGTATCCAAGTTTATGAGCCACCTGGTTACCACCTGAGAGTCCCCTTCAACTAGGAGATGCTCCACCCCAAGCTGGTTGGC